GTGGCGGCATGGAAGAAGAGGAACATGGAACTGCCGACGGACTTGACGTTGTTATACAACGTTGATGACATAGATGATGGAAAGAAGAAGAAGAAGAAGCAGGAGTTGCCTCATAGCAACCAGTTCCGGTTAGTTCCAACATACCAATTCCCGTTAACTGCTTCAACTTTTCTAGTTTTCTTTTTTCAAACAATAAAGATTTTATTACAAACGAATAGTAAATAAGTTATAAAGTGAGACAGTTTGACAGTATTATAGGTTAGTTAATTTGATAATTATAACATGATCAATCCACCTAAAATACTACAAAAAGTACGTGATGTTCGAGTTCCTTGTCCCGACGCTTGTTAGGGGACGTGACAATTGCAACGGGGCTTATCCACCCTTTTCTTTTTGGATAATTACATACACCAACCAATGGGAAACATTAATTATCCAATCTGTGAGAAATGAGAATACGTATTGATATAAGATTCTTGGTTATTGGCCTGCAGCAAGAGAAACTGGCCATGAAAATAGACAGCTAACTGACTTTTGTTGAAAAACTCATGCCAATTTATAGAATACATATCAACTAACTAACTAACTAACTAACTATATATATATATATATATATATATATATATCACAAGATGTATCTCCCTTATTATTCCTATATATGTAGCTATTTCCCCATTCATGCCAATTTATAAAATGTTAATCCTCATTTGAAACAAATTTTCTTTTCCATAATTCATTTTTAGCCTTGGGATCATATACATCCATATGTAATATCATAATTCTCTGTGTCTTATTTTTTCCCATATATATCTTTGACCAAATTATTTATATACTAACCCCAAGAGGGTTGGTCTAGTGAAAACGAGTAAAGATTTGAAACTTTCATCTGAGTTCGAATTCACGCAGATGCATTCTTTGGTTTTACCGGCTTTGCTTTAACCTACCAATATGTTTATGAATATCTTACACGTTATGCTATGAAACTATATACTAATATAAACCATATATTTCAATCAGAATATCTAATCAATAATTTAGATTAATGTTCAACAAAAATCATGGACCAATATTTTCTGACATATATTTTGTATTTTGTTATATATTTTGTTGTGTGGTGGGGTGATGTATATAATTTAGAGAGAATCAAAAGCATATCACGAAGAATGGGCCTTTCTGTCCTGCATGAAATTAAATCGATCCTCATGTAGTCACATTATTTGTCTTTCGCATCGGTCACGGACATATTTCCTTTGCTTATATATACCACTACCTCCTGTCCCTGCCACTTTGCCTTGTTCCCTTTGCATTCCATCACACACTATTATTTTTTGAAAAATATTTTCTTGGCATAAGAAACAACTCCCAAAAATATGAAAGACAAAATGATCATGTGAGTCACAAAACTTCCGTTGTGCTTGTTCACGTGACCTTGTTCTTAAGGTTGTATTATTATTTGGAAATTCTTTTCTTTTTTAAGTTCCCATACTGCACCTAGAAAGTTGTTCAATCTTAACTTCATCACACATGTGCAACGTAAAACTACAAAAAAATGTAACTAGGTGAACTAATCAATTAAGAAAAGATTAAGTGAGAGCAGTTCTTGTCACGTGACAATTTTAATAATACGAAGAAAAAAACTTACAAGAAATTTCTCACGAAATTTTTTCTTAAACTGACGAGGATCTATATATGTTGAAATAAACTATTTATTACACGCATAGAAACGATGCTACCATGAAATTGTACATTTGCCTGATAAGAACATGAATTAGGGATTAGGGTTTGTCTATAATTTGAATTAATTGGTTTGTTCTTGTACAGTTTCTTGGATAAGGCAGCAATCAAGGACCCAAAAACTGAAGGTGGTAAAACAGCGATCGTAAACAAGTGGAGTTTATCAACCCTAACCGATGTTGAAGAAGTAAAAATGATCATCAGAATGCTACCAATCTGGGCCACTACCATCATGTTTTGGACAATTTATGCCCAAATGACCACATTCTCAGTGTCCCAAGCAACCACCATGAACCGCCACATTGGAAAATCGTTCCAAATTCCGCCGGCATCCCTCACTGCTTTCTTTGTAGGCAGCATTCTGTTAACTGTCCCGGTTTACGACCGGATTATAGTCCCAGTTGCAAGAAACTTACTAAACAACCCTCAAGGACTAACCCCATTGCAGCGCATAGGGGTTGGTTTGGTATTCTCAATATTTTCCATGGTTGCAGCAGCACTCACAGAAGTCAAGCGTATGAATGCAGCAAGAGCACATGGTTTGACAGGCAATCCAAAGGCTGAGATCCCACTGAGTGTTTTTTGGCTGGTCCCACAGTTCTTCTTTGTGGGGTCAGGAGAAGCCTTCATGTACATTGGGCAGCTGGACTTCTTCCTCAGGGAGTGCCCGAAAGGAATGAAGACTATGAGTACAGGGCTGTTTCTGAGCACCCTCTCATTAGGGTTTTTCGTGAGCTCACTGTTGGTGAGTTTAGTGCACAAGGTGACAGGGGACAGGAAACCATGGTTTGCAAACAATATCAACCAAGGAAAGCTTTATGATTTCTATTGGCTTTTGGCGCTTTTGAGTGCTTTGAATTTGGTGGTCTATTTGTTTTGTGCCAATTGGTATGTCTACAAGGACAAGAGGCTTGCTGAGGAGGGCATAGAATTGGAGGAAGTAGAGACTTGTGTGCATTAATAATGCATATTTTTCAATTACTTCCCTATCTTGTGTCGTTGTTTTTTGTTTTTTTTTCTTACATAAGCTTGTAATCTTGTATGTACAAAAGATAAGAAATGAAGAATCATTAAAGGTCACTAATGATCTACTCCACTTGTTTTTTTAATTTTACTTTGACTATGTTTTAGAATACAATAATCTGTGTACTTATGATTGTATTTAATTACTTTATTGATCACCTCTCTAATAGTTGTCACTCCAACCTACATCTATACGAGATGAATCTCTGTTAGAGCATCTCCAGTCAGAGTGCATATGTAGATGTATAACACACATACATCATTGGAAAGAGGAGGTGTCCAAATTCATATTTACATCTCCCAACTAGAACAAAAACCAAATTTACATGATTACATCTTCCTAAAATGTAAATAAGATATAAAATTTTACATTTCAAATTTGCAACTCGCGATTGGAGATGCTTTTAAAAAGGTAATCAATAATGTGACTTCTAACTTGTGGTCCAATTAGAAAGTGGGTAATTGGAGCTGATTAATTACTTTAGTCATAGAACATTCACCAACGCATCCATAATTATTAGAATTCAAACCCTTCCCCTCACAGGTCTTAACATCTAGTTTGAATAATTAAAAAAAAAAAAAATGCCTCATATGTAAGTCTCATGTGCTAACAATTAACGAAGAGTTTCAGTTTTAACATAATATGTGTGGCTCATGGTACTAATAATTAACAGAGAGTTAACCGAATTTTCAATTTCTGGCCTAAATTCTAAAAGGCTTCACCATGTGGGTTCAAATCCGATTTTTTTTTTTTTACCACGAAACCAAGCTATCTTCCAATTACCCTATTACCATGGGGATCATTAATCCAATTTATATGTTAAAAAATCAGAATCAATCAAGGTAATGTAGGAGATATACAATTGTTTTGGCTTGAAAACGACCCCATAATATGATTTGTAGCGATCACATTATCAACCATTTCGAATATAATATAATATAAATAAATAATTTAATTTAATTTACAATAATATGATGGAAGAAATAGTAATACCATATTATTCAAAACCAGCGGCTATTTCACTGTCTCGGCATGGGATGCATCCTTGTCCGTTGGAATTTAGAGCATTTGGACCTCTAAATTTAATCGTTTATCCAAAAGTTCAGGATCTCTCCCACAATAATTCAACAACTCCACTGTAACAGGGCCCATTTCTAACTCAAGTGCATTTGCTACTTAGTACTACGGTGTAGTAGTATTTCTTTTCATTTATAAATAAGAGGTCTAGGTTTGATTCTCTCCAAAAGTGAATTTAAACCACATTATTACTAGCATATTGTGAGGCTAAGTACACCATCTTCCCTTAGTGTAGATAATATTGTTTGCTCAAAAAAAAAACAAAAAAACTCAAATGGCATTTATTTATGATGAAAACTAATATTAAATCCAAGTCTAAATCATGCTGCAAGTGGCCTGTTACTATAATGGTGGAAAAGAGTTGAACTCTTACATAAAAGCATGGATTCAAATCTCATCGATAATTAATTTAACATCTAGTTTAACAAAATCTATCTTTGACACAAAAAAAAAAAAGTCTAATTTGTGTTAGAATTAGAATAGGTCAATTGTCCATTTGAAGCAATTATACCAAGGGCGTTTCTAAAGCGAGTGAGAACTAGACTAGGCAACACAGTAGGCCAAGCATAATTAGATATCAAACTAAACATAAATATTTTACATCATTAAACCTGAGATTGCTAACTTACAAGTGAATAAAAATATCACTATATCGTAGTAATAATAATTGAATCAATTCACATTGGTCCAAGTAGCTTTACATGCCCATTTCATCCTTGCCCGTGCATATTTGATGTTTTAGCTTTCAGTTATTTCTATTTTGATAGCCATTTATAACCTCTTTCTTATTTTTTAAGTATAACGATATATTTTATACTAAGAGAAAGAGAATTTGACTAAATCACACAATAACAACCAAATTTGGTATCGAATTCGCATGTAGATTCGAACCTAAACCTCTCACTTACAAGTAAAGATTAATACTACCAAACCGTAGTACTAAGTAACATCTTTTTCTCATCTTAGTTTCTACATTTTGTAAGTGTAAAGACAAGCAAAAATTTAGACATTTTGGTAAATGAACTTTCAAATGGTAATCATAATTTCAGGTCTTCTATCGTAACTCAAACTCGAAAATTAAAATTTGTCGAATATCAAGTCGATGGGTCTGGATATATCGAATTCAGACTCGGATTAAGTTTGACCCGAACCAAATACAACACGATGATAAAACTACATTTTTCTTTTTATTACTAAGAGAATACAATTAAATATGAAAATGCTCAACCAATGGTTGGCACCAATAGAAAGGGAGAAAAAAACTCCAACAAATGTGATAGATGAGGAGAGGGAGGGAGAGGGATTAGATAAACGACAACATTACAAGGATATATATAAGACTACAATCTAACCATCAACTTACAGTCAAATAAAAGTGGATTCTCGTTTAAATGCTCGGATGCTATCAATCTCCTGATCATACTCTTGAACAAAACACCAAATCAGGAAACGCCAAGCTATAATGCTCGCCGTTTCGACTGTGACCATCTAAAGGCAATTTATGTTTCCTGCATTATCAGAAAATTTACAAATAATAAAGTCTCGACACTTCTAGCGAACAAGTTCAGTAGAGTTAAATCATATATCTATGGAAGTGGAGAGACTTGTGGATATTGCGAAAATATGGTTTTCTGGACAATAAGCACCTACCTGAATTATAATCATGACCCTTCTGATTGCTCATCAAGGCCTTCGTTAAATTCACCAAAAATGTCTGGGCATTCATCCCATTTTCCCTGCTTCCTTGTTTCCCAATAACCACCAACATAGCGGAATGGTCCATCTTCACCCTCTCTCTCGAACCATCTGGGTTTCCACCCGTTTTCTTGTAGTTTCCTTGACTGTGCATTGAGAGTTTCAAGGATCATCACCAGCATTAATAGTAATAAAGTAATATTTCAATTAAATCATATGCCATCTTCTCGTAAACATATTTATTGCAAACTATAATACACTGAAAGTATTCCTAAAGATTTGTATATTTGAATGCATCAAATAATTTTCTGTATTTTCTCTTCAAATCTGCAAGGAACTGAGTAATATATTGTAAAAGCGTAAGAGGAGTAAACGGGGCAAGAGTAAATCCATGCTTTTTTCTCCCGTTGCAACTGGGTGAAGTTGCTGAAGTCACTTGCAATGCAACCAATCAACATTGACCAAAGAGTATCGTAACTTCTTACATGTCAGCAATATAATTTCTCCAACTGTCCAACATAAAAGTTGTTTCATTGACACAGTTGACTCTAATTTGGCAAGTGACTTGTCTCTAGTACGGATTATTCATCATTTGGTGTGATCATGGTATAAAATTTAACTTTGATCGCATTAGGTATAGGAGTGTAATAAATATTTCAAATTGGGAAGATCATAGAAAAACCATATAAAATGACCAAGGAAAACAATATGAATATCGGATTACCTTCTACACGTAAAACCTAGCACCAGTAAAAAGAAAATCAGCCGATGAGGCTGGCATGGGTGTCTGTGTGTGTGTGCTGTGACTAAAAGATACGAAAAGAAACCAAAATACCATTCTTTGCCTTTTTTCCAGTCGCTGTTTCTCTGCATTTGCCTTTTCGTACTCTCCATTCTCTAGATGCCGTTGGTCTGGTCTGAGCCTGGAATCGGTGGGTGGGAGCTTCTCCTTAATTGTGATCAAATACCCAGGATCAGACAAAGCTATAAGAAACAATTTGATGTGCATAAGGGAAAAATGGAAATGCATATGAAACATTTGATGTATTACATCATGTATACCTGCAGTCCAGGTGTTAGCTCATTCAGTGTCATTGCGAATGACGTTAAGTTGTATCGTGTGACATTAGGAAGTTTACTACTTTTCCACAACAATGAAGCATCTGAAGGATTTAACTTGCCACTCCCATCACCATTAACATAATGCATGCTTTCATCCCACTTCCCAAATAATGTAGCAACCTTTTTCCCCGTGACATCTTCCACAAATCCATGGACCTATGTGGGTGTAGAGTAAACAATTGCAATCAATCCAGCAGCACAATATCAGGCCGGTACACAGCAATGAGAATAATTCAACATTCTCTACAGCATAGAACCATCATACTGGACACAAATAAAAAACACACCACTAACCTGGTGAGGATTTCGGTCAAGAATCGATTGCTCTTTGAACTTCAGTTTGCATGAATGCTGACGATTACCACGTATATGCATTGTACCATGGTGATCACAATATACTTTACCAAGAATTATATTGTATATGCTTGTTGTGACCTATTACAAAACATAGAGATATTTAAGCACACTTGTAGCATACATAAAAAAAAAAAAAAAAAAAATGCAACATAGTAATGCACACCTTGGTGGTTATATTAGGCAAGAAAATGATTCTAACGAGCTGTCAATTTAGAGCAAAACGCAACATAGTAAAGCATACCTTGCTCCACTGGAAAAGTTCACCATCATCAAACTGCAAGCTAAGAACTCCAACAGGGTCAAGCTGAATTGATCGTCCCCAAAATTTTGTGCGGATATTGCTGTCAGCCCAGAACTTCCACCCTCTACCTTCACAATGACAGGCAATGAGTGTTGGATGGTGACTAACCTGTATCAAGTAAAATTTATTGAAATATTTTAGATTGAGTAGGATAACTTAAGAAAAAAGTATACACATATAAAACCACTGTAAGAATATCAAGTTCTCAAAAACATTTTCACATTTTTTGAGTTTTTTTCTTTTCTCAATTTCTAGGATTCTTAATAAACTTTCTAAGAGTTTAAATGACAATAGTTCGTTGCAAGTTGCATAATCATTTGACCAAAAGTTTGAACCCCTTTTCTTTCATACACTGTTTACCTATTTTTCTCTCATCATAACTATTAACTGAAGATCCAGGCACTATAACTGCCACTTCAAACATGACTGGCAATTGCCGTTTTCTTATATTTCTTGGAGGAATCAAACCCAAGCCAATTTATCATACTTCTACTTTTCATTTCTCCCAGTTTCTGTAAAATGGCACATTATTAACGCTCACTTTATTGTCAAAAGATTTCTGTTGCGTTTTCTATTCTAAAATTGGGTAATCTCGTAAAGAGGTTATATGCTTGTCACAAGTTGATGCATATGTCACCCTCATTTTCACTTATCACACCCGTGCCCATTTATTTTACTTCCCTTACCTTTTCGGAGAAGAAGTGAATGCCTTTATCAGGATAGTCAGCTTCGTAAGTTTCCCCTAACAAGGGATTGAATGGCTTGCAGTGCCGCCCTACAGATGACGCATATCCAGAAACTGCAAATGCAGCAACATTTAGAACCCTTTGGAGACTGTTTCCCTAATAAGATAAAGGACCAAAAACGAACAAAGTGAGATTCAACAAAAAATAAATAAAATTATAATTGAGGCGCTACAAAATATTCTAGTGCACATTCCAGCCAAATAAAAACTCGATTTACTATTCTAATGCATGAAATTGACGAATCAATGTTCCCAATAGTCTATTCTTCCTGCTATCCTCCTAAGACTTCTACTAGACATCAAATTTCAAACAAATTTATTCCACAAATATAACCACCAAAAGATTTACATTGTAAGACTAAAAACAAATAAAAAATGGTAACTGTATGGGCAGTCATCAATACAGACAATATCTACCACAAAGATGACATTAGGACAGCAATGTATAATAAGTAAAAAAGCCCACACTCACCAACCTTACCATTTTCCCATACTCATATGCTCTGTCCAAAAGATACGAGTACTCCAAATCCTCACAACACTTCTGAAGAGATGATATTGGCTCATTAAAGTACACAGGAAGGCATACTCGAGTGAGATCCTTTCCCACATTGTCTTTAATCATAGACCAAAGGCTGATCCCTTTCTCCTTCTCAACTGGAGTGGGAAGCTCTTTTCTCCTTTCAACGTGTGGGTAATTATAATCCTGAACTTCCTTCTCAGTTTGCGTCTCCTCACCATTATTAGTTTGACTTTGAGCTTCACTTTGCTTATTAGCGTTATTTACCACTCCTTTCATAGACCCACAACTTATGCTGGGTTCAGTGAAATACTCTTTTGTGTCATGAAATGGCATTTCATCTTCATCTGACACTTCCTCAAGCTCTTGTTTCTCAATATCGTCAGATGATTCAGTTGTGCTGCACTCTAAAAACCAAAACAGATGTTAACAAATCACGAAATGCTAAGAAGAAAGATAAAACAATGCTCTACGATGGCAGAAATTTTGAGTAATTAAGCATTCAGAGACAGTTGATTAGCAAAAGAAAATTCTTTGTGAAACAAAGCAAGAACAGAAAAAGACGTTTTTCCATGGACCATTTTAGGTCCTAAAATTACCAGCCACCTTGAGTCAAATGAAGACAACAAGCTCAAACCTAACTATCCAAATTGGAAATCAGTCAACATTAATTACAGAATGTAGCACTATTTGTTCAAATAAAACTATCTGTTATACAGAATAGATTTTCACTTGACCATAATTTTACATGCATAAACCCATGCGACCACCGGTAAACAATGCATGACAAGTTCTATTACAAACAGCTAGGGGCTGTGACATCATTTCTTCACACACCTCTTTTCTTTTCTAGTCATTGGATTGAAAACCAAATGGAGAATCACGGGCCAGCAGTACAAGTTCTATTACAAACAGCTAGATGCTGTGACATGATTTCTGCACACACCTCTTCTTCTTCTTTTTTCTTTACTAGCCATTGGATTGAAAAACTAAACGGAGAATCAAGGGCCAGAATTACGAGAGTATCTCATGGAGAGGATATATGTGTTTATGCATATATATCTTCTGCACAATGTGTACATCCTCAACGCAACTCTCATGTTGAAAAGAGGTCTGAAATTTTTTTATTAAGGAATGGATCTTCAATGGATTATCTTAATACAAAATGGAATGCGTAGTTCAAGTCTAACACACGTCGTGAGTCAAAAGCTAACATCTCATGGAGAGCCTTACTATAGGTCTAAAGCAATCATTTGTACACTCAAGAATAACAACTTTCTTTGTTCATTATACAAGGAAAGTGTATTGTACTTAAAAGTAGAAAATGAAAGAAAGTATCAGAAAGTGGATAGGTAGCATAAAATGTTTACCACTATATTTTCCTGGTCCCAAACTTGAATACTCATGCTTTGTCAATTGATATTCACCGTCATGAATTCCAGAGGCTTCAGCTTCATAATTAGCTGCCTGCATATGAAAAAATATTTGGCTTAATGATATTACATAACCAGTAATTATACCATAAAGGTGAGACGGTAAGAACATAATAACCCATTTTAACAAACCCTTTTATACTTTATCTGACTGGCATACAAAACACCAGAAAGAATAAAAATATTCTATGAATGGAAACATTAATACTCTAACAAATTGTTCAAAGCAGAAATTTCCTAAGGCTCAAAGAAAAGTACAAAATGGTAATGGTTTAATTCTTTAAGCCCTCAGAGCTTGTTACTTAGGAGCAGTTCATATAAAACATATACCCCAGTAAATGAATCTTGCTTGCATGTTATTGACATAGGTTAAGAATTAAAAAGTGGTTATAAACTCAGTAAGCATATCCCAGCATGCTAATTTAATCCTTATAAACGAATATTCGATGGTGTTCCCAAGTGTCCTGTACAAGGAGCTTTTAACTGTTAGATCTTGGTCATACATGTATGTATGATATGCACTCAAAAATGTGCAATTGATCTACCAATCAGCTTTGCTGCTGATTGGTGGGTCCCACACTGGGTCCATTTCAATCAACAAGAAGCCAACTGATGCTATATTTCTTCCAACCAGCTGTTGAGGACATGCATATATTAACAATGGGGTGTGACATTCACACAACCCATTTTACTTTTCACACACCCTTCTAATTTTCGGTTGTCAGATCAGATGAATTGAAGAAAATCAATGGATAGAAATTAACAAGGGATGTGTAAGAAGTAAAATGGGGTGTGTGAATAGCACACCCCTTATCAATTATTGTCCTGCTAGACACGATAAATGAGTGCATCCATGACAAGCACCTGTTCTATGAGATATTAAGAATGAAATCCCACTGACCATAAAAGTATAGTACAATGGTTTTAAATTAGTTGAGAATATCAGTAAAAGTAACTACAAAATTCAAAACCAAAGTGAAGATAATGAGTACAATGGTTCTTTAGTTTTACTGATGGGCCAAATTCTGACCAAAGTAAGTTCAAACATCCAACCAGGAGGAAGATTTTTCATTACGTCAAGGAAGTAGAAGAAGAACAGGACTAAAATTGCAGTTAGAGCTGTGAGAAAGTACAATTTGATAAGAAACATGGCTGAGTAAAGTTTAAGCCTACAATTAACAATGTGACAAACACATCCCTTCAAGATATCATGTGCAAGCGCAAGCTTTCAATTAATATTTAACAAGTGTGCCAAGTAGTATTAAAAGTAGTTACCTCGAACTGCCTTAATGTGTCCAGTAAATTTGATCGTTGTTCACATATAACCTTAAGCTGTCCTTGTAATTGAGAGAACTCCGAGAGCATTATCTGCTCGCAGTCCTGTACAATGCTCTCACCGGTTCCCTCTTCAAGCAGGCGCTTTTTCAGTCTTTCGGTTGATATAGATAAATCAGTTGGTACAACGGAGAGGACTATCATTCAACGATCTATGAGGAAATAGAGTCCGAATTGATACCAAAGCTTGTAGCCAAGCAGCCCGATCGCTCTTTGAATTAGTCCTTAAATGAAGGGTCTTCGTAGCAGTAAATATGTAAAATTTCCGATCGTCGGACTTGCTTTCTCGGAAGGATGAGATCTGCAAAACAAACTCAAACAAATCTTTTCAGATTACACATGAAATTCAAAGTATTAGCACTTAACATTCAACACAAACACAAATTTATAGTCACTTGGTAAACCAACTATAAAAAAAAAAACAAAAACAATTTCCTTGTTACAGAAGGAAAATGGAAAATCATCAATGCAGAAAACACACCTTCAATCTGCAAACCACATAAAAAACGATTCAAGCTTCTAAATTAATGACATCAACAATGCATCGCAAGCGAGATCATTCGATATCAATTCGGAAACCCAAATCAGAGATCTACCCGAAACCGGCAAGTCGGCAACCCCTCCTCCCTCCGGTTCTAAGATCACCACAGTACAGAAAAACCAAGGTTATAAAAACCTGGGTTTTGAAAAGGATTGAAACAAATCCACCTAATTCTCTCATAGTCTTCCCACAGTGTAACCAAACCCATTTTTCAAACCGCTACTCTGCCATCAAAATATAAAAACTCGCAAGCAACCCTTGGCTTGGAAACCAATCGCACGCCAAGTCAAAAGCAAAAAAAAAAAAAAAACAAAAAAAACAAAAAACCAGAAAAATCACAGAATCTCATTTCCATTTTTCAGATCAAACACCTTCCCCACCGTCCGATCACTACCCTCTTTCCCTACTTCTTCTTAAACCAAAAAAAAAAAAAAGTAAAAGAAAACCCCAAGTCACGTCTACAAGTAAAGAAACCCACGCTTTGTTTTCTTCTCTATTTTAGTGACGTGAAGCATTTAAAATTTGAGAAGGGGTAATACCGAGGTCTACAACGAATAAAAATCCAGCAGTGATATGACCCCAGGATAATACCGAGGTCTACAACGTAGCCTATCGCCCCCCATATCCACCTGCTGATGTGACCCACTCACACAAACACCCAGTTAAACTGTTAAAAATTGAAATTGAAAATCAAGACCCAGAAAAATCAGAGAAACCAAAATCCAGGATACGACGAACAACGCGGTGAACCGCCGGTCCATGTTTATTGCAGATTCAGAATCTGACCCAAGAAAATTAAAAACTAATTAATCAGAAGGACCTGACAAATTGACAAAACAGAGAAAAAGGTAGCATTTTGGTTAAATTTTTGAATCAAGTCCCTCCCCATATTAGAAAGCTTTGCTGAAATAGCAACAAAAATGGCTTGGCTTCGGCGTTCCGGATTGTAGCATTGCTGCTCTGCAATCTGATCGCAGAGGAGAAAAACGAGAAACGTACATTTACCTTGAGCTGGACGATTCCAACCGTTTTCGGGGGTTTGTTGCTCCGCCGGCTTCCCGTCCCGCTGTTCATCCGGGAAAGGCGGTGAGTGGAGATCTCGCCGATGAGTCGAACGTCGTCGTCGTTTGGGGTTAACAGGCTTAGCGTTTCGGGTCGTCGAATCTTGGAGTAGGAGAGGACGCCGTTTCGGAGAAGGAACCACCTGGATCTCCACCCCTTGCTGTAATTGGTCCACTTGTGGAGGACTCCGGCGACGGTGGCCTCAGATCCCGATGCCCGGCCGGCGGTATTAGCGTCAGATCCGACCTGCGCCGCGGCCAGACTCGCCGGGAGGCTCCGGGTCCGGGACAGCGAGATCTCCGGCGATTGGTCGCCGAGACCCGCGCTCTCGAGCGTGATGCAGCAGAGCGGGTGCATCTCTTTGACCCGCATTTTCGCGAACCGAACCGACAGGGCGTCGGGTTAGACGTAATGCGGAAAGAGACGACTGGAAGCGATAATCGAGTTAATTCCCCATTCTCTTTGTGTTGAAGAAGTAACTGCAACAGAAACGGAGACTGACTGATATTGAACAATGAATATATATATATATATAGACACACATATATAATTATATGTATAGATGTCAGGTACCATCAATCAAAATCAAAATTAAATATGAGAAAGGAAAATGCAGGCATGCATATGTCGATCATCGTCGTTTTCAGAAGTGAAAATCTATAATCTTCTGAGACTCGAAGTAGGAAGAGAGAGACTTGTTCTTTCTCTCTCTCTCTAGACTTTATCTCTGGGTTGGAGACGAACCTGGGGACACTGGAGAGCTCTGAAACTGAGACGGATTCGGGGAGAAAGAGAGAGTGTGAGAGGAAGTAGGGATTCTTATACGAGTAAACTTGACATAGGTTGTAAGTCTCATTAAGTTTTATTGATCTTTTTTTTAAGTAAAAATTAAGTTTTATTGATCTTATAATAAGATAATATTAGAGAGGTTAAAATTTTAAATTAAATAATGTATTACAAATAAAAAATAAGCAAATTAATTAATATTTAACTAATAATTCAATTATCAACTATTATACTATTTGATTTATAAAATTTGATTTAGAAATTGGGTAGTGCTAGAGATATTAAATTTGTAGATAAAATTTGCAAACTAAATTATTTGTCACTAATATAAATGAGCACATTTATCAATGCTTAAGTAATAATTCAATCATTAATTTTCATGTCTTTTAGTTTACAAAATAGATAATGCTACATGACTAAATTTGTAGACAAAATTTATAAACCAAATGATGTGTTACTAATAGGAAATAAGCATGTTTATTAACTCTTAAATGATAATCTAATCATCAATTTATATGTCATTTAGTTTACAAATTTTATCTTCCTAGCCTTTTTGTCTACAAATTTAGTTTCTCTAACATTATCTTTAGAAATTTGATCTCTTACCATTAACCTAAACTATAATAATGTTATCTTTCATGAATAATATTATTTTTATTAAAAATAGCATATGACTACACACCTTGTGCGTCTTTTATTTTTGTTTTTAAAATTTGACAGCCCGTCCCGAATTAATTGTACCATAGGTGCGAAATGACTAAAATGCCCTTGGATGTATTTGGTGTTGTGGGGTGTTGTTTTGTTGTTTTTGGTGTTGACTCTACAGGACACACACACCCATATCACTCCCGTGTCTATCTCTTTGTGTCACGAACACTCTCTCTCTCTCTCTCTCCTTCTTCTTCTTCTTCTTCGTACGGACCATTTCGAAGAACACCATCTAAGCACGGATCGAAGGTTTGAAGGTGAGTTTTGGATTCTTAGCAAGCTCAGGAACTCATCCATACCATTTGTTGGACGTGAAACCCTCAAAAACCCGAGAACCAAGGAATCTCGATTCTGTGCACTGTTCATGCACGCGTGATCATGAAGTTTTTAGGAGTTTTTAAGGTCACAGGGAGCTTTAGGAGGTCCTCACGAAGCTCGGGGAAGAAAGTTAAAGCGTTTTGGACGCCGGGAAGCTCTGTTTCAGTGAGTTGGAGGTTTGGCCGAAATATCGTGGGTTTTTCCGGCAAGATTCGGTTGGTTTTAGGGCTCCAAAGTGGTAAGGTTTTGTTCTACTTGCTGTAAGCTTCATTTTGGTACCAATTTCATGGAATTTTGGTTCAGAAATGAAGAAGATATGAAGTTTTGAAATTTTTCCCAGTTTCCGGCAATGCAGACGGCGGCGGCTCCGGCGAGACTCACCGGAGAAGGCAGGGGAATATTCCGTTAAGTTAACGAAATATTCTTAACGGCGTCAGGTTATTTTTAACAGAATATGCTTACTGTTGGACGGAATATTCCCTAACGCCGTTAGGGATTCCGTCAATGGGCCAGGCACGTGCCTGCGCGTGGGCGGCGCATGTGGCCATGCCTTGGCTAGCCCGTGGGGGCGTGTGAGACATCAAAAAATTATTTTAAAATTATAGGGATGTTCGTGAGGTTAAGTAGATCATGTTGGTGTATTCATACACCCCATTTGAGCATTGTATGAGAAGTTATTACCTAGTTTTGATTATATGCTTTAAATTAACGTTTTTATAGTTGTTTCGCATAAAGGTGAGACCTATCCCGAGGACAAGCGCAGTCACTCAAGGCAAGGGGGTTACGACCCTTCCACATACCAGGGAGTGGGCTTTTGGTTTTCCGTATATACCTATATATTGTGGTTTTTCCCAGAAAATGAAATGGAATGTTTATATGTTTTAAATGCCATGCATTGCGTTTGCCTATTGATTTATGCATTAGTAGTTGCATATATGTATGTTTGGTGCTGTGGACGCACAGATAAGTGTCAGGTAAGTTATGGTTTATGATGATGATTTGTAGTTATGGGAGATATGTAGAGAGCTCATAACCTACACCCCCTGTGTTAGTGTTCCCGCCCAGAGTGGGGCATAGTCCTTCACATGATGTTCACATCCCACACCACACACTCATCTTGGATCTAAGTTAGGTGCACAGTCTTGTCGTACAGACCACTTTAGGTGGTTCCGACTTGTAGGTGACCCGCGATTATTCGCCTAGTCTTCACATGATCGTAGCACTTGAGCGTATTTATTTACACCCAATCCTGTCGTACAGACCACTTTAGGTGGTTCCGACTCGTGTGCAGGTATAGTTAGTGAGTTAGGGATTTGAGCTCTAGATTCAGCCATACAAGTCACGTTAGGTGACTCCGGCTGACATGTTATATGCATTGTTTGATATTACCTGGGTTACATTTTGAGTAGAGGCATTCGACATGGCATATTTCTGGCCATGTTTTCAATATATGTGTATATTCTATTTTCTCGGAAATTATATAGGTTTTACGGTGAAGGATTAGAACTTTTGTTAATGAAATGATTTTGAAAAGCTTTGTTTTTGTCCACTCATACTTTCTGTTTTGCGCCCCTCCAGGTTCTAGTTTGGATTGCTCTTTTGGTGGCTCTCGAGGAATTCGCAACATATCTGACAGATTATCTCCAGTGTAGGACCCCCTCTGGGTGTGTTTAGTAGTGTTTGTTCCTCTGGACTGCACTAGGTTTTCTGTGCTCTGAATATTGTTTTTCACACTTATGCTTGCTTATGTATGTTAACTACTCTGTGTGTAGTTTGATTTTTATTTGTTCGTATTTTTATTATTATTCTTAGCTTCCGCACTGTGCACATGGTTACGTCACCCTCACATGACGGGTAGCATGCCCTAATTTCGGTCGAGGTGTGTTACAAAATGTCACAAGTTGGTGAAGCTTAATAAAAAAACAAATTGCCCATAATTTTTTTTTTTTTTTTTTTGTGAATAGAATAATAAACAATCTTTTCAGTCTATTTTAGTTAACAAAGAGGGTTCTATTAATAAGTAATTTAGATTATTTTAGAGTTAAACATAAAAATTAAATATAATTTCTTAGACTCTCAGTTCATATTTTAATTTTTGTTTCTACTTCATTATAGGTTAATTGTTCTAACTAATCCATGTTCTAGGTATTATATATATCATATACACTAATATGTATTTATTCTCGCATTCTATTAGTAGAGATAAATATATGAGGATTTTGGAAGCCCTATCTGCATGTTGAGAGGTATCATGGAAGCTCCATCCGTATGCTGGAGGGGTATCATGGAAGCCCATCCTATTTTGGAGAGTGGTTCTCAATGGTGAGTAGGGGGACAGGTGCTTTATTCGTATTTTGCACCTTTTTAGACCCTATGCAGGTTGTGATGTGCAATTGGTGTCCTCATTGATTATCACGGAGTCAGCCTTTTGGAACACTAATCTCCCTTTATTCCTTCCTTGTGAGGCAACTATGATTTTCTCCATTCCGTTAAAAGGAAGGTTGCCCCCGATAGTTTAATGTGGCATTACAATTCAAAGAGGCTGTTTTTTGTTAAAAGTGCCTATAATGTTGTTGTCTCTCTACGTGATCTAGCTTCCCTATCAAATCAAAGCACTCAGGGTATTTCTACATGGAACAAAATCTGGAAAACTTTTGTTCCATGTAAGGTGAAAATGTGTGTTTGGAAGGCTGGCCTCAACATCCTTCCCACTCGCTCGAATTTAGAGAAAAAAAAGGATGGTGGTGGACAATATTTGCAGTCTTGTGTAGTTCCTCTTTGGAGTCAGCGCTACATATGTTTAGTGCTTGTTCATTTGCCTGAGCGGTTTTCTTCTCCTCCAATATGAATTTGGGTTAGAGACCTGCAATGTGCTCTTCCAATTGGGATTGGTTTTTTGCGTGTACTGCCTCTCTTTCTTCTACTCTTTCTAATTTATTTTTGATGTTTGTTCATTCAATCTGAGGCATTAGGAATCCCTTATTATGGAATGGTAAGCTTGAGAATCCGACCTTTGTGAGCTATTCAGCAAGTTTTCATCTAGATGCTTTCATTAATGCCTAACCTGCATCCCAACATTGACCTCTACACTTGGATTTCCGATGATCTCCTCCTCTATCAGGATGGATTAAGATCAACGTGGATGGTGCCTTCTGTGTAGCCACTAATACTGGAGGTTTCGTTCACCGAGTGTCTCATCTCAATAACCCTCACACGGTTGAACTTCCTACTGCTCGAGAAGGACTCAACTTGGTTATGCAACGAAATTTCCAGAATATTCTCTTAGAAAGTGATGCTTAGCAAGTTGTTCAGGGAGTTAGGAGCTTGAAGAGGGGGTCTTCTATAACATCCCAAGTGGATCCTGTAAGCCTTATATGTATATTCCCATCTCCACATAGCACATGGCCTTTTGGGAGCTCACTGGCTTTGGGTTCCATCAGAACTCCGAAGTTAAGCGACTAGCGCGCGAAAGCAATCTCATGATGGGTGACCCACTAGGAAGTTCTCGTGTGAGTTCCTAGAAACAAAACCGTGAGGGCATGGTCGGGGCCCAAAGCGGACATTATCGTGCTACAGAGGAGTCGAGTCTGGGATGTGGTGGGGGCCCGGGCGGGGATGTGACATCTTCCTTTATGGATTTGCTGGTTGATGACGTTCAGGAGAGTTTGCAGGGCTTCGTTTCCTCTAAAATTTGTCATATTTGTCGTTCCGCCAATGGTGTAGCTTATAGATTAGCCAACTTGGCCTTATTTTCTTCTTATAATTTTTGTTGGTTTGAGGAACCTCCAGATTTGATTTAGAACACCCTCTTTGAAAATTGTATGCCTTCTTCTTGATATGAATAAAATCGATATCGTTTATTCTATATATATATATATACTCGAGGATTAAATTTATTTGAACTATTTTTATGAATGGTAGATATATTAAGGGCTAGTTTGGTATTGGTGTGCTTTTTGAAAAAATTGCTTCTGATGTGCTATGAGAATAAACAGTTATAAAATAAAGTTGTTGACTGTTTGCTAAACTTTAATTTGTAATGTGCTTTT